CCAGAGCTGAAAGGGGAGGACTGGGGGAGAGAGGCAGCTCCTTGGCTACAGACAGGCTCCTTGGGCTCTTGCAGCAGGCTCAATCTCCTCCACACCCCAACAGGTGAATGTCTGTTGGGTCGGGGTGGGTGGGAGGCAGGCATTCTAACTCAAGGCGCTTTATGTGAAGTGCCATGAGTTAGAGCAGGGGCCTGCGTGTCTGTCCTGCCCTGAGACACATCTACCTATTTTATACAGGACATCAAACAGATGTTACACACTGGCAATGTTTGTTTATTACCAACATGGCCTGGATTAGATCCAGAAGTGATAGGTTTGGTAGCCTCTAATTCGGAGTAACTCAGTCCTAAATCACTTTCTATCTCAGTCTCCTACATATCCTCATCTTACCCTTCTCCTCTCCTCTCCACCCCCACCTGCACTGAACTGTTTTGTTTCTTATACAAAACTCCCCAGAATGATCTTCCCTCTATGTCATCCCAGTTACTATTTCTTTGTCCTTCTGCTACGGTGGGACCATGAGTAAGAATGTGGTAGATGTGGAAAGGAGCCACTTTCTTGAAGAAAATATTGATGGAGCACCGCTACCAAATGCTTGTGCGAGGTGTGAAACCAGGACTAGAACAGCCGGGGTGCTACAGGTTACATGAAAAGTGCTCAAGGAAAGCTATATAGTGTCAAGATTAGAATAGACTAATCCTCCTCACAGGGTTGGAACGGTAGCAGCATTAATTGTTGCAACTGTGTGGGACTGGAACAAACATAATAAGGGGTGCTACAGATGAGCCTTGAGATGCATTAACCAAACTATGAGGAGCTCAGGACTGGAATAGCAGGAGATGCTTAGTATTGAACTACTGAAGTACTCTGCTGGTGGAAGCTTGCCAACATGGCCCCACTACGATTATTTCTAGCTACAGTGCTAGCCTATGATTGCATCCATCCCTCCATCAGAAAAACAAACCCAAAACATGCCAAGCACATAAGCTTATAAAGAAAAAGAAACAAGGATAGGAATAATACAAGAGATGCCATCATGCCCACCACAAAACTCATAACTAAAGAAATATATTTTGTTAATAAGGGCAAAAAACATAATTAACTTTGCTCCCCAAGACAGTACAGTTTCTAATAACTCAGTATCAACTCATTACTGTCTTGGTGCTTGCCAGTGGAAGGAATTAGTATTTGCATCAAAGTGATTGTGCTGACAGTGCGGTTTTGACTGCCAGTCACTGAGCTGTTTGGTTTTTCCTTAAAGCTTTTTGTATATACTTCAAACGTTTTCTTTTCATATTTTTGTCAAGTTTCAGGCATTAGCAAAAACCCTTGTCTTTCACATGTTCTAAGATGCTCAGTTTGCTGCAGTATCCTTCCACTATTGTCAAATTATGGAGTAGAAACTTTAGGGTCAAATTCTCAGCTGGCATTAATTGTCACAACTCCATCTATGCCTGTTAATACATTATTTAGTAGCCGGTCCTGTTTCAAGCCATTTTATTGTGGGAAAAAATCTTCCGTACATGATTTAAATACAAATAGATGCGGCTTCCGTAGCCCCCCATCTCCTCCCCTCCCCCTGAGTTTGTGAACAGCTTGAAACAACAGCTCTCAAAGAGATGTGGACTGTTATCTCCACACTAATGTTAGCCAGCCTAACAACGATCACTTTTACTTAGTTTAGTGCATCATTTTAGCAGAAATCTTCAGCTAATGCACTTGCTAATCATCTGTGGATAAAATGGCAGACACTAGGCAGGGGAGAATGGGGAGGCAGGTGACTTAGTTTTTGGAGCTGGGGAACTTGTAGCCTTTCCAGTGTTTCAAGTCAACAGTGTGAAACACCTTCAGTGTTTCAAGTCACAAAGAGAAGAGGAAAAAGAGATTCAGCCTTTTCCCAATATGAAATTCCTCCCACTGCCTCTTGTGCATAAAGTACAAACTGACTCTCACACCTTTTCAGGTACCAAATTTCCACTGCTGCTTTCATAACACCTCTACCCTGAGAACTACTCTACAAAACACCTCTACCCTGAGAACCACTCTACAAAACACTGGGGCGCATGAACATTTGGCACAGTGTAAATACAATAAGCTGAATATAATGGTGCAAATTAAGTTAAATCAGCTGTAATTAAATGGCTCAAAGTCTTAAAAGAGTGGAGACTTCACTGTGGATGCCTCCTGATAATCAGGGTGAAGAGAAGCCCAGAGCTGCCTGAGAAGTCCAGATGGACAGAGGCCCCAAGAGGGACAAGAGCAGTCAGCAGGTATTTGGTGTTGAGCAAGGGGAGGTGACTGATTGGGCAGGACTCCTCAACTGTTTGGGGCATTTAAAAAAATCAAGTTGAGTCTTGAAGCTGGGGCTAATAAAATGCTTTTATGTGTCTGAGAATGAAGGGACAAGTGAACTGTATCAAATGTGCCCAGTGGCTCTCTAACCGAATGGTCTGGAGTGGCTAGGTAAAAGGTGCCCTAGGCAAGAGCGAGTGAGGAAGCAGCTGAGGATTGCATCCCCGAGCATGATGGGGAAAAGGACTTCCTGGCATTCTCCATACCACCGATTCTTCTCTGAAGAACTGAGATGTTGCAGAGCCTCCTTTGAGGTGGCATGAAGAACTGAGATGACAATGCTGAGGTAGCTTCAGGGCAGTGAACAGAGCTGAGATGACAGTGTATAGGCAGCTTAGAGTATCATGACAGTGTATCGTATCATATGAGCAGCATCTTAGTTGAGGGACTTCAACAAGGATCTACCCAGCACCAGAGTTGTGATCCTTCAGTTGGGATGGATACCAAAGTCTTCAGAACTGCATTCCCTTTATCAACAAGAGATGTACCTGCTCAGATTTTGGACTTTTCCAAGCCTGGACAGGGCACAGTGAGTGGAGTACAAAAAGGGCAAGAGAGCAGTGGTTATCTCACCAGCTACTGACAGCTATGGGAGGAGGGCTGGATTCCTATAACTGAGGTACTTGGAGGTGGTAGCTTCACTTGATAGTATTGCTGCATTCACTTGGCTTCTCCAAATATATATCATACTTCCCTCCCCCTCCCCGCCATAACAGCTGTATTTGTGTTAAAACCTCAGTCATTCCTCACAAGTGAGGAACTACTGTTCATCCTGAGCACAACTTTGTTTTCCAGGGGGTGTTTTTTCGGAGGGAAGGGAGGGAGGAAGAAATGAGGCCTAAGGCTAGTGGTGTTTGTGAGTAAAAATCCTTACATAATTGAATCTCCTTCTTTTACTGCCAAGCTGCATGTGGCAGAAGGACTACAATAGCAAAATAAATCATAAAGAGGGGCAGTGCGCTGTTCCTATGATTCACTTTCACATTTAATTCATTTAAAACCTTGACACCATCTGAAACTGCCAGAGAATTCATCTCCACAGACAGCAAAGGAGGGGAAAGCCTTTGGAGCTGACAGATGACCGGCAGCCGGAGAGAAGCACGTCACATCTCACATGCAGGGCGATTAACCTGAGGGAACTCCACATTTCTAACACTAATCTGGCTCTTTAGGAAGAGAGCCACAAGCAAGAGATGCTGCAACTGCAGCTCACATCCAAGCTGTGTGCAGGCAGTTTGACAGCCCCAAGTCTCCACCCAACACTTTCCTCTTGGCACTGCCAGTCACACAGATGGCAATGCATTCTGGCAGTCACTGCAGTAATTGCCAAGCAATGTCTATGTCTTTCTCCTGTGGGTCAGGATGTTTTTAAGTCTTTTTAGAGGCACTGGGTGTTGGTTACAGCCAAGGCTGGGGACTTCATCTGGGGTGTCAGTGCTCCTTCTGGGAGCAAAGCCAGAGGTTCCTGGCCAGAGGGTCTTGCCCCTCCACTCAGGATCAGACCAGTCACTGTATTGGGGTTGGGAAGGAATTTTACCTCATGAGCAAATTGGTTTGGACTGTGGGGGTTTTGCCTTCCTCTGTAGCAGGGTGTGTGGCCCTTTACCTGGGATGTCTAGAACATGTAATAACATTTCACAGAAACAGGACATCGGCTGCTGTGTCAGGTTAGGGCGTTAGGTCTGTGTTGCATCAGGGTTGATGACAGTCTTGCGTACAGTTTAGATTATGGTTTCTATGGGATGGTGCAGATAGGGATGATCCTACCTCAGGTAGGGGGTTGGATTAGTGTTCAACCTTTTTTCATTTGCAGATCCCTAAAAAATGTTGAATGGAGGTGCAGACCCCTTTGAAGTATTGATATTCACATACTTTTGATTGATCATACTTAAATTCACGGATGCCTTAGCCACAGTCAGTGGACCCCCAGGGGTCTACAGACCACAGGCTGAAAACCACTGGCCTAGATGATGCCTGGAGGTCCCTTCCAGCCCTACTTTTTCTGACTCCCCACCTGCCCTTGGATCTCTTTCATCCTTTTAAGACCAGTGGCTCCTGACCTTTGTTAAACACAAGGTAACCTTTCCTTAGACTGGAGGCAGCCTTGGGGAGATGCTATTTCCGGCCTTTCACTTGTTTTTCCGACTTTGGAAAAACAGTAGTGCAAGTGCGCTGGTGCCAAGCCCACAGCAAGCAGGAGGGTCTGGACCCTCTGGACTCTTGTTGGAAATCTGGGGGGCTTATGGCTTGGGTGCCTGGTGTCCGCAGCCCTCACTACAGGTCATGCTGTCTGCACCCCTCTGACAGGGCCTGAGCGCGCCTGCGCGTCTGTCCAGCGCCGGGCGCGGGGGCGCTGCACAGTGCAGCCTCTGGTCTCCATGGTGACAACAGAACGCGGACCCCGGGCGCGGCGCGAAATGGAGGGCGGGGAGGACCCGGGGGCGGGGCCTACGCGAGGGAGGAGGGAGCTTCCAACATTCACTTGGTCATATGACCTAGCCTCTACGTGTCAATCAATCCCCATAGGCCCTTCCCCGGAGGGTGATTGGCTCCCCCACCGGAAGTAACTGAGGAGCCCGGGAG